GGACAAAGCGGGCTTCCACTGTCTTGGGGGTCTTGCATTTTAGAATACAAGGCCAGTTTCTAAAAAGGACATAAAAGGTCTGTATATGCATATATGAGAGTGTGTGTGTGTTTTATGAAACTACATGTTTATGTAGTGTCCTGTTTGGACACGGTTTCATTTACATATGTGTTATAATAAATATATAAACCATGACAGGACATTAAATTCTAACCATTCAGAAAATATTTTTATATATTAATTCCCTTTCCAGGATGCGCCAGGTGTCTATTGAGAGGTTTCCAAGTGACATGTATGATAAAAATGAATAAGCCACAAACAATAAGCAAGTGGATTGAAAAAAAAATGCTTTGCTCACAATCCATTTATTTAGACAAGTGGTGGGTCGAACTACATGAAGTAGTAAATTTAGCTTTTAATTTACCACTGGATTAATTGGACTATATAGATATGTTAATATATGGAATACGGCCACCATTTCAAATATAGATACTCATTACTGCTGCACAGTGACTGAAAAAGCACCAGACAGTTAAGATAATGGTGCTAAAACTACATGTATGTGAAACAGCTTTAAGTTATGAAGACATAAAAGTTGTATGTTTTAGAAAAAAATATTCTTGTATTATAAATGCATTAAATAAACCGTACAAAATAACTGATAAAAATCCAGAAACAGTATATATTATAAAACTGTGGTGTAAACATGAGTCGACTGACCCTCAGGCTGTTCAGGCAACAGAAGAAGTGAGTTTTGGCACTATGTGAAATATGTCTGGATTTTGACTGAGAGGTTTCAGGCATGACAGTCACTCACAGACACAGATGTGACAGTAAAAAGCCAAATTATCAGTCTATGGTACAGAAACATTTCACAATTAATGCGATAATTATACATAAAACAAGTATTAACAGGCAAAACATTATGAGAAATAATAAATAAAAAATCTATAGGCTTAGTTCAACATTTTAGAAAGTAAAATTAGTTGTTTGACTAGTTGTGGGCATAAGAGGCCTAATTCTAAAAAACATATGAACCTTATAAAAACTAGAAAAATAGAAAACATTACACTGGTTGAAGTATGATATATAAAATATATCAGCCCTGACTTATAAAAAACCCAAATGTGATGGGTTTCAAGGAAAAGATAAGTCAAGTTAAATACATTCTTTCTTTCTAAATATAAAAACTGAACTAAAATTAGCCCAAAGACATGGGGCAAACGATCTGTTACGGTGCTGTGAAGAAGAAGAAGAAGACTCTTAATTTACCAACTGAAACTGGATTCATGTCAGTATAAATGCAAACTAAATGAACTGATGATAAAGCGAGTTACATTCCGCGCATGTGAAGCTTTACGCGCTGGGTGTGAAGTAGAACAGGCCCACATGCCGTTTTTTAAGTTGCACACCAGATGTTTAACATATTATATAGAGAGAGTACATTAAGAGGCGTTTGGTTTGGGAGTTCAATGATTACGTTTTATCAACATTATCAATGGCTGGTAGACAATAGTAACTGCCTAATATTCCATATTTGCCATGTGACTAAGTTTTACGTTGCGGTCTTATGGACCTTAGAAGCCAGATATGAACTTTTTATGTACATTCAAAGTGATTTAAAGACGCTAGAATAGAAAGAAAGAATTTATGAGCCGCTAAAAAACAGTTTATAGAGAATATATGATCCATACCTGGTGGTGATAGGGGCTGTAAGAGCTGAAATAAGGCTGGGGTCCAAAAACTTGGTACATCACATCCAAGCAGCTCATGGCGAAGAAATCACGGGAAAGAACCAAGCTTCATTTGGAGACGAAACAGTAATACCGACCGCGGAGCACACACACACAGTTGGAAAGTCTCTCTGCTGCGCTGCTCTGCGCCCTTTACGCACTGGACTGAGGCCGGGCGCGCAGAAGGGAACCCCCTCTAGCCTCCACTCTCCTCCTCCCTTCACTCCCCTAGACCCAGCCTGACGCAGAGTTCCCACCAATCAGAGGCTGAGCCCTAGCTCTTCCTTAACTTGAGATTCAATTACTGCAAACATTATAATAACAGAAGCTATAAAATCAAAGATCTGCGTCGTCCATGGTTGTTTTAGTTTCTTCCAACATAAACACATTTCTGTTAAATCACAATTTCTTTTTCCATTGATTTAGTGGGATACGTTTTAGATAAAGACAACGGCCTCAGAGGTTGAGAATTAGGTTTCACTGTTCAGTGTGTATAAAATTATTGTATCTTTTATCATATTTATAGCTCATTTTATTAAAATACTATATATAATATTACATTCATAACTTGTGGTAGCTGTCACCCAGATATATTGAATTAATGCCTTGTGACTTTGACCAACTTTATCATATTATTAGATTACATCAATATTTTGGTTTATTGCATTTTATTTTGTCAGCTCTTACTGTTTGTGATTTATCCAGATGTTTTAAAAATTAAAACAAACCCGAGGGAACAGGGGGCCTCTGCAGCAAGTGCAGTGAAAGTTCACGTGCACTTGCTGGAAAGTTAATCAGGCACATGCAGACAACTAGTAACAGATGCAAGATGACCTCAGAGAGACACAGAAAGACCACAGATGGACACACAGCAGTCAGGGTGTCTTGGACCGGTGAAGAACCTTTTGCATGTTGGTCCCCAGGGACCCTTTGTCTGTACAGTACATTAGTCTAGTCTGCAGTGTCATCTGACTTTTCATAACACACTCGCAACAGAAACACCACACCCCACAGCAGCAGAAAGAACCTGGGATTCCCAGCTTGAGCAAAACGTGTGATTGCACCCTGTGTGAATGTTTAAAAAACACTGCTGGGACATTTGTGACCAGTTGTACCGGTGTATTTAGACCGAGCTGCTTACATGAACATTTTATGCCTCACAATGACTCGACATAACCTCTGACTGAGCAAACAAAGGTTATTGTCCAGACAAAATGATCCTTCTAATAACTATCAACTGTCCTTTTAGCTGGCTCCTCCATTAACCAACACACCTGTTCATCACCACAAGTGGTGCAGAGAAGCCACTAAAACCCAAAATATTTCCCAAAGAAGTGCAGATTAGCTCATTTCATTGGCACCAGTCAACAATCAGTGCGTACGTACCACCAAGGTTCAAAGAGAAATCTTTGATCAGGTATGTTTGGCATCCTCTCTGCTGGTGCACTTCAAATAAAATGATGTCTTCACAGCAGGAGAAAACACCAGAGGAGGCAGGAAGTTCAGAGCTGCTGTGGGCCAGTCAAGACCAAGATCAAGTCTCCAAAGCAAATTGCAAGTCATTTCCAAATTGTTCAAGAGTTTACTATTAAAATAACCAAGAATTTTAAACATATAGCTATGAAATCTGTGTTAACAGTGGTTTTACGTTTAGTAGCCGAGCTGCCTGTTGCTGTCTTATAGTTCTAGATTTTACAAGACTAAAACTGAAGCGTTGTTGACTGTTGAATCAGCACATACTGTTTAAATCAGACTGTCCTCCCCTAGAAAATCAACCAATAGTTTGACTGTGCAGCAGCTTATTACGACCCATGGTCAGGGGAAAGTCAGGGGTCATGTTGCACAGAGCCACAGGACGTCCACACACATCACAATTTCTGACATCTTCAACATCAACAATCCAAAATTTCTTGGCCACGTTATTTTGTCAGCCGGCTAATTGTTTCGACTTCTATGCAAAATAAACCACAGTGCCTTATATTTATCAGAAACTGTTTATATCAGTGTTAAAACAACTAATAGTTTGATTTTTACTGAAGATATTGTAAATGTGAGAGCAGCTGAGCAGGTGTGTGTGGTTGTTAGTGTGCATCCTGTTCACCCTTATTCATCTCTGACCATGTGTGTTTCCTCGGTGGTGGAGGAGTGCGCTGGTTTTGTTCGGCCATATGATGCAGACGACCTGACCATGACCCTCCATTTACAAACAGTCTACCGGTGCCCCACGAGGGGGTCTGTGTGTGTGTATAGCAGAGCGAGATGTGTTTCAATTAAAGAGCTGTTTGACTCTGAAATACAATGGACATATATGTGGTGTATTTGGGCATTTCCAAAGAATAAACGCCAACAGGAAAATGCTAATATATTTGCTTCAAATGACAAGTTGGAAGCCTTGGTGGTGATGCTGAAGTCGTGTGACTGTGGTGTAGTTTGTTTATAGGGTAACAACAACTTTTTACTAATGATGATTGTATTTGGGCTTCAGAAATCATAAAAGGGAAGTTCACTTCTGACAGTTAATCCAAAAGCCTATGGGAAAATCCCACTGGCTTTTTGTCGAGGGAACCGGGATGATGCTCACTTCAGGGATGGCCTACAAGAATACGTCGCTCTATACTCGAGTTGCCAGCCGGCAGCTGAGGTGAGCAGCAGCTTCAGGGGCTCTTTCTAACTTCACACCCACAGATCTCTTACTATTCAAACCTGTAGTCTTCAGACCCCACCAATACTGGTGACATAAATACCTTTAATGAACAGTATTTAATTAAAACAACTTCTGATGGATTTGAAGCTGTAGTTAAGAAGCTCTCTATATGTGGTGCATTCACTGTACTTGCCTTAGTGGATTTGTATCCCCATGACAAACTCACACAAAGGTCTGATCCCACCAACAAGCAGTCCCCGAACCTTCAAGGTCTTCTGTTGGAAGGCTATTGCAGAAGTTATTCTTTCAAAACCACCTCCATAATGAATAAAAGATGAAATAAATAGATTCGGATACTCTTTCAAAACAGTGCCCTTGCTATACCAGGTGTAATAATACATTTCAATTATTTCAAAATTAAATGCTTACAAATCAAAAGGTGAGAAAAATTGGTTGATTTTGATTGATTTTGGCCAGTCTTTTGTGTGTTCTTAAAATGAAAAATAGACTCTTTATGAGATGCTGCAAATGTTTTATGTTTGTGTCAAAGTGAAGCCAATCAGCCATTTTAATCTGCATAACATTTAATTTTGATCAATTAGATGTGAGTACGTGGAGAGATTATTAAAATGGTTTTTTGGGTCCCCGGGTTCTGACTTTCTTTGAAATGAAGTGAAATGACATTTTAAGACATGAAATGTCAAAAGTGAAAAAAGAAAAAAGAAAGAGAGAGAAGAAGCAGGTCTGTAGTGAACTTTGAAACTCCCACACTCCTTATTTAAAGGACTTGATTAGATTTTTCTTTTTATTTGTCTATGTTGTTCCTCTTTTTGTTTGAGCTTTATTCCTTCTTCTTCTTATTTAATATGGCTCCTCATCTTGTTTGTGTTCTTCTTTGTTCATGTTGTTCTTGTTAGTGATTTTTGGGTTCATTCTTGTTAATATTCTGCTTTTCTTACAGTCTCATCCCTAATTTCCACCAGATGCAGCTGTGTTGCACTCTGTCGTTATGAAAACAAGGACAGCCATGAGCTACCTGGGCTAGAGAAAAATGTCTTTAGATTAGTCTTTAAAGACTGGGAATAAATTTTTCACTTAATTCACCATTCTTCATTTCTGGGGCTCGGTCGTGTCATCTCTGCAAAGCCATGACCAGTAATGCAGAAACAAAAACACACCTCAGCCGATCTTGACTGAGGAATGTCTGTCTCTATCCTCGATTCCATCAATTCGTCCTTTTCTTTTTTCTTTGTTCCTCCTTATCCTTTAAGCATTCACACTCACACCTCACTCCCCTCTTTATGTCTTTACAACTCAGTGCAGTTAACATTCAATGAAACTTTATAAACGCTTACTGTACTATAGGGAAGAAAACAACTTCTCTGTGTGAATGCCTTCATAGAAACCATTACCAGCCCATGATAAAGAAAGCTCTCACACACAAGGCTATGAGGGCGTTCACATGAAAAGACCTGAGTTTTAGATGATTGCACGTGGCTGCACTGCATAAAGAGCCAATTCAGATATAGGGCACAGCACAGCTTTCACTACCAGTTACTAATGGAGAAAATGATTTATTCACTAATGAATACATCAGTGTCAACATTAAAAAATAACACTGGAAATGATGAAATTATTCTGCTTCAACTGTCTTTTGCCCTAACCTCAATATGATATGATACGCAGTACAATACTGGTTCAACAAAATGCTAAGTGATGATAGTATCATATACCGTTAACCGTATTAAAATAAAATGGCTACCCTCATTTTAAGAACACATAAAGAATGTCAAACACATTTTTAGTCCTTCGATAAACAGAGATTTGAAAAGTAGTATCTAGGATTTAATTAATAGGAGATATAAATAAAGGTTTGGTTTATATTAGTGTAGCTCAGCGAGGTCAAGCATTAATCACAGGGTCTGTGGGTTGATCATTAGCTTCTCTTGTCTACATGTCAACATGTAGGCTGCGTCACATTGTTAGTGTAGTGCCAAAGTTACTCCCCCTTAATTTCAGAGGTGGGGGACTCGAGTCACATGACTTGACTCAAGTCGGACTTAAGTCACAAATTTTAGGACTTGCTTGACGAACAGTGATAAAAGACTGGACTCAGCTTTGACTAGGTATTCATGACTTGAAACTTGACTTAGACTTCAAGCAGATGACTCGAAATTACTTCACTTTTTTAAATTAAATATTTGCATTTTTCTAGATACTGAGGAGTGACATTTTGTTTTTGAAATACAATTGGGTGATTTCTAGTGCAATGCGCGTGAATCTGCCAATCTACCAGAACACGGCAGACCAGCAGAGGGCATCACAGGTCGCAGGATGCACCTTTCCAACTTCATTAGTCACTGCAAAATAAAGAAAGGCAAGTACATGAATGTGTGTGTTAGCTAACTGATTGGCTGGTCACATGTTAGCTACAAAGCTAACATTCAAGATTTGGCTTTGAGTGCATTACACATTTTACTT